CCAGCATCAGGCCCGGTGAGTGACGCGCCCGCCGGCCAATCACAGCCTGAGCCTGTGTGATGCTGACCTCTGACCTTTAGCTCTGGACTTGTGTTTCTGGTCTATTTTTGGGGCTCTGATGTCCTCGACCTCTGAAAAATGCAATGCACGCAACTCACTCACACACACACACACTCTCACACACGCACATACTCACTTACTCACTCTCACTCACACTCTCTCTCACACACTCTCTCTCTCTCACTCTCTCACTCACTCTCTCACTCACACTCTCTCACTCACACTCTCACTCACACTCTCTCACTCACTCTCTCACTCACTCTCTCACTCACACTCTCTCTCACACTCTCTCACTCACACTCTCTCACTCACTCTCTCACTCACTCTCTCACTCACACTCTCTCTCACACTCTCTCACTCACACTCTCTCACTCACTCTCTCACTCACTCTCTCACTCACACTCTCTCTCACACTCTCTCACTCACACTCTCTCACTCACTCTCTCACTCACTCTCTCACTCACACTCTCTCTCACACTCTCTCACTCACACTCTCTCACTCACTCTCTCACTCACTCTCTCACTCACACTCTCTCTCACACTCTCTCACTCACACTCTCTCACTCACTCTCTCACTCACTCTCTCACTCACACTCTCTCTCACACTCTCTCACTCACACTCTCTCACTCACTCTCTCACTCACTCTCTCACTCACACTCTCTCTCACACTCTCTCACTCACACTCTCTCACTCACTCTCTCACTCACTCTCTCACTCACACTCTCTCTCACACTCTCTCACTCACACTCTCTCACTCACTCTCTCACTCACTCTCTCACTCACACTCTCTCTCACACTCTCTCACTCACACTCTCTCACTCACTCTCTCACTCACTCTCTCACTCACACTCTCTCTCACACTCTCTCACTCACACTCTCTCACTCACTCTCTCACTCACTCTCTCACTCACACTCTCTCTCACACTCTCTCACTCACACTCTCTCACTCACTCTCTCACTCACTCTCTCACTCACACTCTCTCTCACACTCTCTCACTCACACTCTCTCACTCACTCTCTCACTCACTCTCTCACTCACACTCTCTCTCACACTCTCTCACTCACACTCTCTCACTCACTCTCTCACTCACTCTCTCACTCACACTCTCTCTCACACTCTCTCACTCACACTCTCTCACTCACTCTCTCACTCACTCTCTCACTCACACTCTCTCTCACACTCTCTCACTCACACTCTCTCACTCACTCTCTCACTCACTCTCTCACTCACACTCTCTCTCACACTCTCTCACTCACACTCTCTCACTCACTCTCTCACTCACTCTCTCACTCACACTCTCTCTCACACTCTCTCACTCACACTCTCTCACTCACTCTCTCACTCACTCTCTCACTCACACTCTCTCTCACACTCTCTCACTCACACTCTCTCACTCACTCTCTCACTCACTCTCTCACTCACACTCTCTCTCACACTCTCTCACTCACACTCTCTCACTCACTCTCTCACTCACTCTCTCACTCACACTCTCTCTCACACTCTCTCACTCACACTCTCTCACTCACTCTCTCACTCACTCTCTCACTCACACTCTCTCTCACACTCTCTCACTCACACTCTCTCACTCACTCTCTCACTCACTCTCTCACTCACACTCTCTCTCACACTCTCTCACTCACACTCTCTCACTCACTCTCTCACTCACTCTCTCACTCACACTCTCTCTCACACTCTCTCACTCACACTCTCTCACTCACTCTCTCACTCACTCTCTCACTCACACTCTCTCTCACACTCTCTCACTCACACTCTCTCACTCACTCTCTCACTCACTCTCTCACTCACACTCTCTCTCACACTCTCTCACTCACACTCTCTCACTCACTCTCTCACTCACTCTCTCACTCACACTCTCTCTCACACTCTCTCACTCACACTCTCTCACTCACTCTCTCACTCACTCTCTCACTCACACTCTCTCTCACACTCTCTCACTCACACTCTCTCACTCACTCTCTCACTCACTCTCTCACTCACACTCTCTCTCACACTCTCTCACTCACACTCTCTCACTCACTCTCTCACTCACTCTCTCACTCACACTCTCTCTCACACTCTCTCACTCACACTCTCTCACTCACTCTCTCACTCACTCTCTCACTCACACTCTCTCTCACACTCTCTCACTCACACTCTCTCACTCACTCTCTCACTCACTCTCTCACTCACACTCTCTCTCACACTCTCTCACTCACACTCTCTCACTCACTCTCTCACTCACTCTCTCACTCACACTCTCTCTCACACTCTCTCACTCACACTCTCTCACTCACACTCTCTCACTCACACACTCTCACACACACACTCTCACTCACACTCTCACTCACACACTCTCACTCACACTCACACTCTCTCACTCACACTCTCTCACTCACACTCTCACTCACACTCTCT